AAGGTGATAGGGCACGGGGTATGGGTGGGGGTGGGGAGAGGGTAGGGGTAAGGAGAGGATAGGGTGGGGGTGGGGAGAGGGTAGGGTGGGAGAGGATAGGGTATGGTGGGGGATGGGGAGAGGGTAGGGGTGGGGAGAGGATAGGGTATGGTGGGTGGGGAGAGGGTAGGGGTGGGTGGGAAGAGGCCATGGGTGGAGGGTGAGGAGTGGGTAGGTACCGGGTAGGGAGGGGGAGATATGCCAAGGTTGTTCAAGTTTGAGTGGTTAAAGGCAATGGTGATAATAGGTGGAAGAAAATTAATATATTGAAGATGAAACGTGTTGTGTGAGGAATACCAAGCAGCCGCACCCATGACGGTATATTTTTATAGAGCAAAGTAACAGAGGCAATGAAGGCGAAGGTGGTAATGATAACAGTAATTATCATCATTTTTACAACAATGTCTATTATAATCCTAATCAATCTTTATCATTAAGGATAACAATAGCAACAACCATTCTCATCATCATCATCATCTTTATAATTATAATAACTACTGTGGCAAAAATTATGACGATAATAATAAAAATAATAATAAATTTCCTAAAACTATTGAAAATAATTTTACTGTTTACTAATATCATTCCTAATGTTGTGGTTGTTATTTTGTTGTCCTTTCAAATCTTCTTTTATTTTCATGGCCCATATTATGATTTATCCTCAATATCATTACCGTTGCAATTGTTAACATCATTGTATCGACACAAGCATTACCATAATCTACAGCAGGGGTTCCCAACCTGTGGGCCATAGCCATCAGGGGGCCCACGGGGAACTTTCTAAGGGGCCAATGAACAATGTGAACAATTAGCTGTCGAACTCAACCGAATTTTATATTTCCTTTAGTCCCTACATATAATCATCTCTCACATATCAATAAATTGGAGTTTTTCCATGTAGCATTCTCGTCCTTTAGCTGTTGGCGCCGTAATACTATTCATAACTGGTAATAATTGAATGTGAAACAAAGGACAGTCACTGAACGGGGCCCTGGAGGTTAATACACTGGTCGGGGCCTAGGAATGAAGCAATAATAACTTTTCGAAGTGAGTCCTAAAACTACGACGACTACGGCAAAAACTAGGACACAACGACCACGACTACGCGCTCACAACTACGACCAGAACTACAACCACGGCGACGACCACAAGTACGACTACGGTTACAGCCACAACAACGACCACGGAAGCTTAGTGAAGAAGCGAACGAAGATTCCATTGAAGATTCCCTTTGCTGTTCGGACGACCAGCCCTCCCCCCAGGCTTCAGCGGGTCACGTGACCAGCCTTCCGAACGAGTGTTGCCGAGAGTGAGTCACTGCCCCCCTCCCTCCCACTCCCCCTCTATCCCCATCTCCGGAGCTACTTAGGCGGTGGTACTCGAGTGGTACTTGGTAGGAGGTGGTACTTGAGGCGATATCTTGGCGGTGGTGGCACTCGAAGGCAGGTCGGCTGGGAGTAAAGCCCTCCTCCTTTTTCTATGGCACTTGACTTTTCTGTCTGTCTCTGACTCCCTCCTGTCCTTTTTTTGTCTGTCTCTTTCTCTTTCTCTCCTTAATGTTTATTTCTCTTTCTCCTTTTCTCCTTTTCTGTCTCTCTCTCTTTCTCCCCTTTCTTTTTTTTTCTTTTTGTCTATGTCTGTCTTTTTCTCTATCTATTTTTTTTTCTTTTTGTTTTTCTTTATCTGTCTCTATTTCTCTTTATCCCCTGTCTTTCTCTAACCATAAATTTATTTGACCTTTCGTCTGTCTCTCTCTGTCTCTTTCCCCCCTCCCCCCCCTCTCTCTCTCTCTCTCCTCTCCCTCTCTCTCTCTCTCTCCCTCTCCCTCTCTCCCCCTCCCTCTCTATCTCCCTCTCTCTCTCCCCTCTCTCTCCCCTCTCTCTCTCCCTCTCTCCCCCCTCTCTCCCTCTCTCTCTCTCTCCCTCTCTCTCTCCTTCTCCCTCTCCCTCTCCCTCCCCCTCTCCTTCTCTCCCTCCATCTTTCATTTCCCAATTAAATCAAACTACTAAATTTCTTTAGATGGACGACACATAAGTCCAAACACCCACAGCGCCGCCTCTGCCAAGCCCTTCGTTGCGTCAGGATATTCTCCCTGCATCGCCCGCCCTCCGTTAACCCAAGGAGCGGTTTCGTCATCACTGCCTCCGTCATCTCCCAAGTTTAAGAAAAGTCACGTTCCCTTCGTAAGATTTTTTTTTTCTAACATGCAATATCTCCCTCACCCTCGCTGTTTCGTCAGGCGCTGAGATAAACATATCCGATAATTCTCTTTCAATGCACCTTGAGGGATATTTTTGTCACTCCCCTTCCCTCTGCACAGTCCCCCGCTCCTGCTGGCTCCTTGATGCACATATGTGGCCTTGTTTGTTCCGTCGTGTTTTGTTTTGTTTTCGTTTTTTTATTTGCTGTTGTTGTTTTCCAGTCATTTGAAGCACAAATTATCATCCTCTCCTCACTTTCCTCCCCCCTAAACATCTTCCTTCTCATCACCCCAATCCATCTATCAACGCTGGCATATTAACGGCCGTAAAATCCATCTTCACCAGCAAACAACTTCACAAAAAAGGGTACAGCCCCCCTGCCATGCCCACCGTTGACACTTCACCAGCATCAGTTTCCTTAAAAAAAAAAAAAAAAAAAAAAAAAAAAAAAAAAAAAAAAAAAATCACCCTCACTGACGTCTGAGCTGCTACTTGATGAAACGGGTTTTTTGCCTGTGACTTCACATGTTCCCAAATAAAGCAATAGAACACCTCGGCGCCTTCACCTTGTGGCGAGACCTGGCACTGATCAAAGCACCTGGATCCAGTGCCCTCTAAGCCTGGTTGCAGGACGTAAATAATTCGAATAAGAAAATAATAATAACCATCCGTAGTTTTCCAGAAACCAAACCGATACTGAGATACATTTTTTTAACGGATTCAAAGCAAAGCGTCCGAAACTGCTTCGTTCATTGCTCATGTGAGAAAACGGGGTATTTTCCAAGGCTAGTAGGCATGCGGGTAACTGACCATCAAAGCACTGAACTCAATAAAGCAACGAAAATGCCGGGGTTCACTTCACTCGCTTGTCAAGACGGGGCACCCAGGCGAGAGAAGTGCGCCGTGCCTTCATTGGGATAGAGGAGCCGGACCAGGATGTCGCCGCGCCTCGGAACATGCAACGATGTTCAGATAGATAGATTGTTTGACAGAGAGATAGGTAGGTAGGTAGGGAGGGAGGGAGGGAGGTATATAGGTAGATAGGTAGATAGATAGATTGTTAGATAGAGAGATAGGTAGATAGGTAGGCAGATATATAGATGATAGATCGGTCGATCGAAGGATAGATTGTTAGATAGAGAGATAGTAGTAGTTTATACAGATCGATAGGTAGACAGATATGTATATGTATATCTGTGTGTGTGTGTGCGTGTGTGTGTGTGTGTGTGTGTGTGTGTGTGTGTGTGTGTGTGTGTGTGTGTGTGTGTGTGTGTGTGTGTGTGTGTGTGTGTGTGTGTGTGTGTGTGTGTGTGTGTGTGTGTGTGTGTGTGTGTGTGTGTGTGTGTGTGTGTGTGTGTGTGTGTGTGTGTGTGTGTGTGTGTGTGTGTGTGTGTGTGTGTGTGTGTGTGTGTGTGTGTGTGTGTATCTGAACGTTTATTTTCACGACATATGCTGAGACACGTTCCCCTTTCTCGCAAGCACAACACCATGGCCTGCAGACCTTTCAAACCGGCCTACATTAAAATTTCAACACATTGGCCACAAACTGCCTTAACAAGAAAAAAAGAGCATCAATTGATATTCATAGGCCTAAACGTCCACTTGTCCCCGAGCTGTAGGAGTAAAGATACTTATAAATATTTATAAGGAACAATTATTAGGTGTACATCAAAACGCCCCATCAAGAATTCTTTACAATACAAACCTTAATAATTATTGAGGGTGAAATAAGTCTACAAACGTCGGATATACAGTGTTATAATTAAGAAATTTGATATATCAATTTAAAGACGAATTTTCTAGCGATCTTTAGGCCTATAACGGTAAGGTGCACTTGCCTATTAACCTGATTTTTTCTCGATTTTATCATTATTGCTCTAAAATGTTTGCATGTTCCAAAAGTAACAACAATTATTATATTGTATCATCATCTTCATTGTCATTAAAGGAATTATGATACTGGCGATAGAAAGAAAAACAGAAAAAAAAAAATTATCATTGTGTGTAGGGCCGGTTATTGTGCTTGTGCGACTGTGCATTGTAACAATAATAATGTAAATACTACTACTATTGTTACTACTATAAGTACTAACAATGGCAGTACTACTACTATTGATGATGATAACTACAACAACAACAATAACTGTATTAATATCACTATCATTATCATCATTGTTATTATTATTATTACCAATATCATTATCAGTATCACTATTATTATTATCCCTATAACATTGACAAATACTACTGTGCATCAATGATCACTTTGAATTCTCAATATATATCATATACCAATCATGTACACAAAAATAATATTGATGTCAACAACAGTAAGAGCATTACAAATAATGCCTACAATAATGAAAATCTATTTTTTTCTATATATTAGACGTATGATAAAGATATAAGAATGATAGTGGTCTTATTTGTGGAAGATAATGGCACAGACATTATCATTAATAATTGCTAATATAATCACCATCATCATCATCTCGGTAACAATATTGATAATAAAAGAGAGTTGGGCTGTAGGAATGTAATACAAAACACAGCCATTATAATTCTAGCCATATAATTACCATTTGGTTACGTATAATTAATTCGTTATGCACTGCGCGGCCTTGCAATGGCAATCGCATTCTGATCAGGCTGTTTGCAAATTGCCATCCGAGTGCGCATGACCACAGTTAACACATATTGCTAACCATTTGACAGTGCCACGCAACGAAACTAATCTTAATGCTGAAAAACGGCATTTAC